GGGGGGGGGGGGATTCCTTGTTTTCTTCCCAGAAAACATTTTTTCTTTAAATTTTGATTTATCAACTTCTATGTGAAATGCAGTATTTTTAGTAATCGAAAGTTATGTGGATGTTCTCTGGTAAACTACTTTAAATCTTCTGTTACACTTTGATCAAGCATGTGGACCATCAGTGTGATCAGTGGTTTACTTGTTCCTACCATTCAAGGAAAACTTCATTTCCTTTATTGAGATCTTGGAGTTTGATGGGAGAAAGACTGTCGCCTGGTTTGCAGATGGTCAGACTTCCTATTTAAAAGATAAAAACCCTTCCAACTAGAAAATGTAGTGCAAGTATGTCTGAAATGCAACATGCCATTAAAAAAATACTGAGTTTACAAAGTCTAGAAGATGAGAAATTTTATTTTTCCCCTTCTATAGTTATTTAACCTCAGACAATTATTTTTTGTGCGATCCGTACTATTCAAGTAGCTGTTCAGTAATTCTTTTTATCGTTGTATTCTGTCTTGCCTAGTTTCAGGCATTACTTCATGCATCCTTGCACACATACAAAGTATCTGTCACTCTGCTTCTCAGAGCTCCCTGAATTCACTTTTATGATAAAACTGGGCAAGTTCATGTGGTGGCTGAGGGCCAAGGTATAGGGAGAGCCCAGAGTTACCAAGTGTCACTGAAGTTTGTAGAAAGACAGTGGATCTTGGACACCTGTGAAAATCCTGTAAATATGAAAATGGACCTCTTCCTCCAGAGGAGGAGGAATCTGCCCTGAAAGAGAGGCTCCTGGTTGAGCTTGTTAGAAGAATCTGAAGCATAGCCCTATCTATGGAGGAAAAAATATTCTATAACAGAATCTGTACAAAACTAAATTCAGCTGGATTTTTCTAAAGCCATGGGAGGCCATATTTTTGCTTTCAGAACTAGTGTTTTATACATCTGCTGTAAAATAATGTATTTTCTTCCCCTTAAGAAATGGTCTTGCTAATACCCTTTTAAAAATACATTTTTGATTGAATTTGTAATTCAAATGAGTTAAGAGTTGCCTTGTATTTGACTTTCTTAGTCCCTCTACTGTTGTTTTTGCAACTGTTGTGCCCTGGACATGCAGGTTATGATATCGTGGTCAGTTTAGGCTGATCCAAGACCATGTTGTCACTGAAAGGAACTGTTACTTCAGTATCCTGTTTGCATCCCTTGTGCCAGCGTAAGTACTCCCATGGCTCTGCAGAGTAGGATCAGGAAACTGATGTAATTCAGAACTGAGCAAAAAATAAATAGAATTATTTCCTCAGTAGACTTAATGTGTGGCAGCAGAAGCAGCTAAGTCAGCACAGTAGGGGGAACGGGAATATGAGGAGGAGGTGGAGGATTGCTCCTTGTTCGTAGTATCAGCCTGGGGACTTACAAAGTAGTTTAAGACAACGGAAAGAATTCTGTTGTAACTGGAAGGAAGGGAAGGAAGGTGAGTACCAAATTGTTCTGTGCCATTTTGTTTCCCAGCTTAGGGCCAGTCAATTTTTAATCATCAGTATAGTTATAAATCACATTGAATCTAGCTCTCCCAAGGAAAGGAATATCTAAGGATTGAGAAAGTCGTATTATGTAGAGAAAACTTGTGAAGCATTTGTGTATGGCACCAGAGTTAGCAGATCAACCCTGAGGGAGGCTGTTTTTATCAAACCTGAGATTTACTCCTTTTCAAAAAAGTCTGTGTTGGGAAATCGTGTGTTAATTCTTAGGGCTCATAGTCATGTAGTATGTCAAGTGATAGTTTTGACAGCACTCATTTCTCAGTTCAAGACTTAAGCAAGCAAGTTGATTAATTAATTTATACAGCAAATCTGCAGTGATCTTATTCTTGGTTTTGTATCGAGGGTCTTGATGTCTTAAAGTGTTCCTGAGGTCTAAATTGATTTTCCATATTTCAAAAGACCAAGGTCTTAACTTCTGCCTAGATAACTTCTGCTATATTTTAGCCATGTGATGGTTACAGTGGAGAAAAAGAAAAAAAAAATAAATCCCCAAAATCAGTCAAATATGTATACAACCAATTACAGAAAATGGTGCTAAACTAAGTCTGCGAATATTGACAAAAATGTCAAAAACCCAGCTACAAAGTGCATTCTTGTGTGGCAGCCTTTCTGTTCAACCTTTTGGAGCCTAGGAAGATTGTTATAAATATTGTTGTATATAAATTATTTTCTGAGGGCTTTTTTGTAGGGTGGATTTTGGGATTTTGTTTGTTTTTATTTTTATAACATTATTTCTGTAGTATATTGATTCTCGAAATCACTTAGCTCATTAACATGTCTGGTTGAGAAGTGTGAGACCTAGGCAATACCCCGTAAATATGGAGACTTGATTCTGCTTGGCCAAGTACTCCAGAAGTATTTCCAGAAGAAAAGTTTGACTGTGAGCATTTAGGAGGCAGCTGCCTCCCTCTGTGCGACCACAGGTATATTATTTTCCTCTCCTTTATCAGCAAACTGAGGATGAAATAAGGCCCAAGAGTTGCAACTGGCAACTAAGATTTGTCAGAATAGTTGTAAAAGGATGCTGGCCAATGAAAGGAGACTAATAGAAGGGGAGAAGACCATCACTTACAGAAGACCTGAGTTTTGGAAAGAGTTGAGAACTGCATTCAAGTCAAAGAGCATAAGAGCTTTCGTAACCTTCCTTAGATGATGATTATCAAAGTATTTGGTTCTGGTTTGATTTTTGTAAAGAGTCTGTGTGGATGCAGTAACTTCCAAATGCTTGAAGTACAGTGTTATGCATAGGTACATGTAACATACTGCTTTTATTAAAAAACCCTACTTTTACAAGTATTTTATGTGTACTTTTGTGTTTATGTGTAAGGATGCTCTTTACTTTTTGTTGTCTTATCCTTGACTAGTGAAAATTAGGATAACAAGTTGGGCTCATGAAATTGTCTGGTCATTTGCTGCCTTGGATACCAGAGGAGTGCAAATTATGTATAATTGTCATTTTCTCCAGAAGCTGTTAACTTTCTATTGGATTAGAGTCAGTTTTATAGCATTTTTTTAGAATCTAATTAACCTAATTGCAGTTGAATATAGTCATTTGCTCAACTTCCCCCATCCCCTCCCACTGTCTATAGTAACTGATTCTGGATCTTGGTCTCTACCTTTTATCTTGAAATCCCTGTGTTATAATTACAAAGTCTGGTTGTGGGTTTGGTTTTTTCCCTCCTCTATTACCACGCAGTCTTTGGTGCATTAGTCTTTCTCATCAAGTGGCAGTGGTTAGTTGAGAGTGCTTTCATGACAGACTTCTAACTGAAATACTCATAACTGCCTTGTTCTCACTAGGATCTTAAATTTTAGTTTATTTAACACAAGGTAAAAGGACAGGTTTTAACTTGATTTACCATTGAGCACAAGGTCAGAGGGACTAAAATTGGGGCTGATGTGTGAAGTTTTATGTGGTGATATCATGTAGTCTTGAGAAAGGAGCAATGCAAGAGTGCTGTCCTCCTAGTTAGACTATTTCAGGTTCTAACCACTGAGAGTAATAAAAATATATAACCACTCCCTTTAAAACAATCTTCAAGGATAGATTAGGTGCTGATTATAGCTCTGTGTTTTGGTTGGTTTTTTTAATTGTAGCTTCTTTAATAATGAAATTGTGCTGATCTTAAGCTCTGTAGAGCATCGTGGTCTCTACTCTCCTTATTCTATTTTTTTAATCTCTCTTCCAAGAATATTTTATATTGAATCTTGTCTTGCATTAGCTACCCAACGACTTCAGTCAGTTTAAAGTCATAATGAGGACAAATGATTTTGTGGTTTCCTGTAATGATGACCAAACCAGTAATATCATTAAGTGTTTAAGTTGTGTATTCACATCTGCAAATTCCTTGTCTTCCCCAGGATTTTGGCTTGCAAAAGACGAAATAAAAGCCCTTTCACTTTGTAGTGAAGAGACTACTTTTTTCTCAACGAACTTACTATCTTTATTTTTCAACTGCTTTAAAGTTTTCCTCTAGACCTTTTGCACTAGTTGAGATAGCTTGTATATTCTGCTGAATTTATTGCTACCTACTAGGTTGGCATGTAGGAAGCTTCATTGCTTCTTTGTAAGTTGGGTGGGTAATATGATTGATGCCTTTTTTTTTTTTTTTCTTAAAAAAAGGCATTTTTCTCGATACAGAACAGCACACTAAAACCAATTCTTCTGTGATAGTCTAACCTTCAGCTGTCTGCAGTAGTAAGTGAAATATGAATCCATAAAATACAGTTGTTGGATATAACGTAATGTATTGGTAAGATCTGTATTTGAATTAATGTATCCATTTCTTAATCTGCTCGATATAGTGGCATTAAAAACTAAATTGTTTAAAAGTATGCTGTGTACCTATTTTATTGGCTTTGAGTTTGGAAGAAAATGTATAACAGTCTATGCTAACAATGCCATAGGGACGAAAATGTGTGCATATATTAAAATATTTCATATGATTGCTGTCTCTGCCTTCCTTTAGAGATACTATACTAACTTTATTTCAGTACTTTTATTTCAAGGCAAACCCCCCAACTTTTATGAACAGAAAATAATAGTTTGTCTCTAGGGCAGAACTATTTTTGTTGTTAATGACTGAATTAAGTGATTAATGCAAAACATTTTTCCTTGGTTTCCCGTCCCCCCCCCCCCCCCCCAAGTCAGACTTTATCGCTTTGTTTTAGGAACAGAATGAAATAAAATCCATTATCTTTTGGTTTTTTTGTGTTTGCAGGCTCGGATAGCATTTTTACAAGGGGAAAGAAAGGGTCAAGAAAATTTGAAGAAAGATCTAGTGAGAAGAATAAAAATGTTAGAATATGCATTAAAACAAGAAAGGTGGGTATTCACATTGTTCAGCTTTTATCTGACCTGGAAAACTTTACAGACTAAAAGGACTTCCATTGCCTTGTGTAAACTATCCTTAGTAGATGATTCTATGGTTACTTTATGTAAACTGTCTTTATGGTTGGTCATCTTTACACTATGTTTTCTGGTAAACTTTACTGTCTGCTATAACAAATAGTTGCATAATTTTCAAATTGTTTGGACTCATGTCTTAAAAACAGAAAGTTCAGATTGGGCAGTTGCCCTTTTCTGAGTTAGAGTGCTGCTATACTAAGCAAGAATAAACATTCCACAAATGTTTATACCTTATTACTATACCTTTACCTGCTCTTCAGTGGTATTAAACCTGAAAGGATGAAAAATACTGTTCTCTTGATTCTCTGTAACTATTTTTGTGTTTCATAATTAAAACTGTATTTTGTGGCAGAACAGAATCCTTTAAAAGTTAGTATTACATTTTGAAGTATTGTTTTTTCATGTGGTTGAAGCCAGAATTTCTAGTCTCAGTAAGTGCATTTTCTGTAACATTAATTTAATGCTTTAAAAATTGAAATTCCATTCAGTCCACGCAGGCTAATATCCTTCAAACTTACATGCTCTTCTGTTGCCTGGCTATTTCATTTGACCAAAATTAGTAATTAATTTTGCAAAAACACTGACTAAATCCAACAGTATAAACATCTTGAGGATCCAGCAACAAACTAGATAGCCTT